GTGAAAAAACAAACAAAAATAACGACTTTATTCAACTACTCCATTTCTTCCTTATCACAGAAACAGAAAATTCTCGGGACATCAGCATGTGTCCAAATTTCAATCTTAACCGTTCTATTTCATCAGAAATTATCTTAAAACAGGGCTTTAAGTGTAAAACCGAAATTGTCTTTAAAGGCAATTTTCAAAGTTTGATTAAATGTTTGATTTTCCAATGAAAGATATATTTTTACATGATTTGTTATACACTCACCTAAAGGATTATTAGGAACACCATACTAATACTGTGTTTGACCCCCTTTCGCCTTCAGAACTGCCTTAATTCTACATGGCATTGATTCAACAAGGTGCTGAAAGCATTCTTTAGAAATGTTGGCCCATATTGATAGGATAGCATCTTGCAGTTGATGGAGATTTGTGGGATGCACATCCAGGGCACGAACCTCCCGTTCCACCACATCCCAAAGATGCTCTATTGGGTTGAGATCTGGTGACTGTGGGGGCCATTTTAGTACAGTCAACTCATTGTCATGTTCAAGAAACCAATTTGAAATGATTCGAGCTTTGTGACATGGTGCATTATCCTGCTAGAAGTAGCCATCAGATGATGGGTACATGGTGGCCATAAAGGGATGAACATTTTTAGAAACAATGCTCAGGTAGGCCGTGGCATTTAAACGATGCCCAATTGGCACTAAGGGGCCTAAAGTGAGCCAAGAAAATATCCCCCACACCATTACACCACCACCACCAGCCTGCACAGTGGTAACAAGGCATGATGGATCCATGTTCTCATTCTGTTTACGCCAAATTCTGACTCTACCACCTGAATGTCTCAACAGAAATCGAGACTAATCAGACCAGGCAACATTTTTCCAGTCTTCAACGGTCCAATTTTGGTGAGTTCTTGCAAATTGTAGCCTCTTTTTCCTGTTTGTAGTGGAGATGGGGTCTTCTGCTGTTGTAGGGTTGTGTAAGGTTGTGCGTGTTGTGGCAAATGCTTTGCTGCATACCTCGGTTGTAACGAGTGGTTATTTCAGTCAAAGTTGCTCTTCTATCAGCTTGAATCAGTCGGCCCATTCTCCTCTGACCTCTAGCATCAACAAGGCATTTTCGCCCACAGGACTGCCGCATACTGGATGTTTTTTCCCTTTTCACACCATTCTTTGTAAACCCTAGAAATGGTTGTGCGTGAAAATCCCAGTAACTGAGCAGATTGTGAAATACTCAGACTGGCCCGTCTGGCACCAACAAACATGCCACGCTCAAAATTGCTTAAATCACCTTTCTTTCCCATTCTGACATTCAGTTTGGAGTTCAGGAGATTGTCTTGACCAGGACCACACTCCTGAATTCATTGAAGCAACTGCCATGTGATTGGTTGATTAGATAAACATTATAGAAATTGAACAAGTGTTCCTAATAATCCTTTAGGTGAGTGTATTTAAATACCCCATAACGTACTTTGACTCATGTATATTAAATATAATATAAACTTTGCAAATAATCACAGGAATTTTAAGGAGTTTGTCCTAAACTAAGTAATTAGATGATACAGTAGTTGCTCTGATTAAAAAAAGCTATTTCAGAGAAAACACTGTACATATATTAAGATATAGTAGTGAATATCATTAATAATTAGTGTGATTGATCAGTTTGGATTACATTATAATCAGTTACTTAATAAAAACAAAAACTGCTTTCTGTAATGGCACTGAAATATGGTAAAATCTCCTTCATGAAAGGAGACGGTGTCGAGTCTTCCCTTGTGTGTGTGTGAGCTGAATGTAAATATGCAAGAAGTCGAGTCATTTGCAATCAGCCGGAAGGGCTTACTAATGAAATGGGCTGAGAGTGGAGGTAAAGAAAAATCAGCCACAAGGCACAACCCCCATTTTGGAGGAGATCATGAACACCAGCATACCAATCAAACTATTTTGCTGATACTAATTTCAAAGATTGTTTAAAAAAAAAGAAAGAAGAAAATTCAAGCATACTCTTCTTAAGTTTAAAGATGTCACCCACAACAGTTTTTTCCCTGAATGGAAATGCATGTAGTTTGCAGACAAAGCTAAACGATTGTGTGTGTGAAACACCCGGTTGGACAAAACAGCATAAACATATTAACAGTCACATAAAAGTGTATGCCAACATTTGCAAGTTTTTCCAAAACTAAACCCCAGCACGGTTATAAAGCAAGGATTTATTTAAAGTGTTTCCTTCAGGTAATTGATTCAGTATGTGAGGAAACACTTAGGTCAGTCTTCGTTTTTGGTGACTCATTTATAAGTGGGCAGTCTCATTACACCCAAGAACCGCCTACAGTTCAGAGACAGCACACTTATATGACCAAAATGGGTAAAACGAAATGACTTACTCGTCAAAGGTCAGTACTTGGTGTAAGGGGTTGTTCAGATCACGAACAATAGTAATAGTGATGCTCAGCAATAGTAATAGTGATACTCAACAATAGCAATAGTAATAGTGATACTTGTCTTACCTGAATGTCATCTGTAAGAGGGTCCATGTTTTCAGCCTGCATGAAAGACCTGTGATGTTTGTCCAACACGCTTGATTTTACAGGGATGAGAACAGTCTTCTTCATGAAGCCTTCATCGGTGCCCTGGAACAAAGTCAAATCATAACCAACATCAGATTAACACAAAACACTGGTTTGTAAAAGAATCAAGAGTACCCAATGACTCTCAGGAAACCGGTCAAGAACATATCTGGGACATATTTCAGCCAAAATTAAATTAATGAAATTATTTTATACTTAAAAAACTATAATCTTCTTCTGACAAATTTGCATTTTCCGTAAAAAAAGACTTTGAAAATGATTATGCATGCAGATTTTATGAACTCAGTAATTGAGAGACAAATGTTCATGCTTTTATAAGTTACATTTTTTTTTACACTGCACACTGCTTGACCATTTAAAATCTAATAGTGAAGGCAAAAAGGTGGCAGAAAATATGGTAGAAATTGAGACCAGTTATGAGACCTTACATATACACTTGCCTATGCCTATACATATATAGTTCACTTTAAAAAAAAAAACATTTGCTGATAATTTACTCACCCTCATGTCACCCAAGATGTCCATGTCTTTCTTTCTTTCTTCAGTCGAAAATAAATTACGTTTTTTGATGAAAACGTTCCAGGATTTTCTCCATATAATGGACTTCATTTGGAACCAAACGGTCCAAATGAGAGCTTTAGTGCAGCTTCAAAGGGCTTTAAACGACACCAGACGATGAATAAGGGTCTTATCAAGCGAAACAATTGGTCATTTAAAAAAAGAAATAAAAAAGTTTAAGTTTTATAAGCACAAACGCTCGCCTTGCTCTGTTCTGTGATGAGCGTTCGTGACTCTCCTGTTCAAACTCGTTTATAAATGAACAAATCTTTTTTCGAGTCATGACTCGAAGGGTCCTATATAAGACCCTTATTCATTGTCTGGTGTCGTTTAAAGCCCTTTGAAGCTGCACTGAAACTCTCATTTGGACCTTGAACCGTTTGGTTCCCAATGAAGTCCATTATGTGGAGAAAATCCTGGAATGTTTTCATCAAAAACCTTAATTTCTTTTCGACTGAAGAAAGAAAGACATGGACATCTTGGATGACATGAGGGTGAGTAAATTATCAGCAAAAGTTTTTTTTTAAAAAGTGAACTAATCCTTTAATTTTTTTCCATCTCTTTCTTGACATGTTTTGTGAGATTCACCCTTAAAAGTTCTTTCTTTTATTATAAACCTCTAAGGACTGCAAGTAGGCCCAGACTTTGTAGAGTTACTCAAGCATTCACTTCACCTTGATCTGCTCCCAGCTCCAGCCATCCTGGACAGTCTCGGAGTGTTGGAGAAAGAGCCGACAGCAAAGCCGGAAGGTCCTCTCATCCAAGTAACATGATGCAGGGGTTTTCTCACCTGCCATCTGAGGGTAAGAAGAGTCACATTTAAACGTCTAACAACCAAAGATGACTTTTCCATTCATGACACATTTCACTGGTTACAATAGGCTATGATATAAGATACCATGCAATGGTCACATCTTGGTTTAATGCACAAATAGGCTAATCGTGCACAACTACACCAGGAATCTGTATTAAGACAATTCTATGCTGACTTCTCTACATTGCTGAAACACAAATTCCATTACAACTTTAGGTTTCTGCATCATAACAGCAGTTCTGGCTTCAATTACTCTGAGGAAACAGTTGATTCCCTAAGTGGCTCTTTCCTGCTCATACCTCTTTCACCCTCTCAACGTGAACAAGCAGAAATGAGAAACATCAAACAAACCCATTTATTCTCATCTTTACTGATCAGCCGCTTTAGTGAGCATCTATAACTCCAACTAAACGGACACAACATGGCTTGATTAATTACAGCGTGTGACGCAATAAATAAAATGTGCACACACTTGAGTGGACTAGCAGTGTATGTGTGTCTATAGCCCAATTCTGACATGTGGGGAAAGAACTTAAAATAAAATAAGTTTCTTAAAATAACCAAGTACGTACTACCGAATCTTAAAGGAGTAGTTCACTTTAAAAAAAAAAAAAAAACTTTTGCTGATAATTTACTCACCCCAATGTCATCCAAGATTTCCATGTCTTTCTTTCTTCAGTCGAAAAGAAATTAAGGTTTTTGATGAAAACATTCCAGGATTTTCTCCAAATAATGGACTTCATTGGGAACCAAGCGGTTCAAGGTCTAAATGAGAGTTTCAGTGCAGCTTCTAAGGGCTTTAAACGACACCAGACCATGAATAAGGGTCTTATCTAGGACCCTTTGAGTCATGACTCGAAAAAAGATTTGTTCATTTTGATGAACGAGTTTGAATAGGAGAGTCACGAACGCTCATCATAGAACAGAGCAAGGCGAGCATTTGAGCTTAATATAAAACTTAAACTTTTTTTTATTTATTTTTGAAATGACCACTTGTTTCGCTAGATAAGACCTTTATTCATCGTCTAGTGTCATTTAAAGCTGCACTGAAACTCTCATTTGGACCTTGAACCGTTTGGTTCCCAATGAAGTCCATTATATGGAGAAAATTCTGAAATGTTTTCATAAAAAACCTTACTTTCTTTTCGACTGAAGAAAGAAGACATGGACATCTTGGATGACATGGGGGTGAGTAAATTATCAGCAAAAGTTTTTTTAAAAGTGAACTACTCCTTTAACTCTGATTGGATGAGCCACATTTGAAGCCATTCAAAGAATAGCAGAGTCCACACTGCAAGACTTGACAGCCAATCAGAATCCATCCTGCTTTAAAGAGCTTGAGCATTTAAATCAGCAGACGACAAAACCGCAGAACCATTCTACTTATAAACAAAACGTTATCTTTCGTTGGTGTGAATGCTATCTTTATAGTACTGTTTGTGTAAACAGGCCATTAGAGTGTACGGTATTTATATATTTATATAATAATAATATATACGGTATTTATATTTATATTAGTAAATATGTCAAATGTGAAACACCATTATTGTGTGTCCAATTTTACAGTCCTGTGACTAAAGAAGAAAAGCCTAACAATTATTGTCATGGTTGTTTTTAGTATAGTCATAGGTCAACATGGTGAATATACAATAACATGTACGGGAATGTATTTATGGTGCACACTCGCATAATAATTCAGTAATCAGAAAGTAAGATTTCAGATACAATGGTTTTCACACAGGTTTTTACAAACGCACAAACATTGGTCAGTCAAAAAGATAGTCCCGCCCCAAACTCGTACATTGGTCAGTGTCAATCAATGTTGTGCTACGTCATGAAGTAATTACCGTATTTTTGAGACGTGCCCTTCTACTTGAAGCTGTTCACAACCTCAGACTGGGAATTATGCATTTCTATGGCAACACTATCAACGCCTAAGGCCATGTGTCCACCAAAGCGTTTTTAGCCAGCTGAAAACTTCAGACGCTCTGCTGAAGACGCCGTGCTTTGGGTGCTTGAGAGCGTTTTGGCAGGCCAACGTTTTTTCCGTTGAGACGTTTCGTTGCTATGATACAGAAGATCCGCAGCACAGTTTACTTGTAAGTGATTTCGCAGATAATTTGTTTCATACTAAAAATATATTTTTCATCCATTTTGTTTGGTTTGCTCTGCTGGTTGATGCCGTTGTACTGAAAGAATGTTGTGACAGTTGGTCGGTGTGGTATTAGTCCCGCCCCTCCTCCACTGTGATTGGACGGCTTGGTAAAAAGTGACAGGGATGAGCGCTGCTTTTTATCCAACGTAGAACATTTTTCAACTCCCGGCGACCAGTAAAAATTCTGGGCGCTCGCCGCTTCAGCCTGAAAAACCGCTCAATGCCTCATTACGCTCATGGCGTTTAAAAAACGCGGCGCTCCCATTGAAAACAATTGAAAACATACGACAGCGTGGAAAAACGCTTTTGTGGACACACGGCCTAAGGGTATGTTTACACGACGATGTACTAAAAACGTCACCATTTTCAAAGCTATCATCATTGTCAAAGCTATCTTCGTTCAGACAGATCCACGAAAACGACTAAAAATGCTGCGTTATGTTGCCAGGCCAGAAGAAGGCGATGTCACTTTAAAACTACATGCCTATAAACTAAACAAATAATATGCATGAACATGACATCACTGTTTTCACAAATTCACATTTTTGTAGTCAACGCTGAGATGATAACGGAATCGTTTTCGAAAACTTTCACTTTGAAACCCGTTTTTAAAAGTTTGCATTTTTAAAACGTTTTCAGGACCCCGAAACACTGTGTAAATGAACAGACAAAATGCATGAAAAGATTTCCATTTTTAATTGTGTAAATGGCCCCTAAATGAATCTGCAGTGGTCAGGTGGTCAGCAGTAACGAGGCACAAGTCGAAGCTCTAAGAAAATTCCCAGTTTACAGGTTGTATTTATGAATTAAACCGTGAATGCTGTTTACTAGTATTGTTTGTTTGACAACATTTATTACTGAAAGGCAGGGTAGGAATTTTGTTTCTAAAAAACATTTTCCTAAATTTGTTCAAACTGTCTTTATACCAATACATATCCAAAACGTGTACTCTGGAAAGGAGAGGAAAATCGAGTGTCTGTAGTCCTCTCAGGACTGCAATAAACAAAGCTGCTCTTTCCATTCAGAACGAATGCACTGATTGGCTGGGCGACTGTCACTCTCCTTCGCTACCATGGCTACCACCCATAGACAGTAAAAGAAATGGACACAGCGACCCCATTGATTTCAACGGAGAACATTGAAGCACGTTAAAAGCTGATAGCCTGGCGTACTGCACAGGGTCAAACTGAGCCTGTCACGTGAGCAACCTGTATGTCTTCTAGTAGCTCTGCAGAGTGAAATCTGAATAATTATCTTCCGAATCTCACAGAGGCAGAGAGAGTGAGTATTAGCTGTCCATGAGCTAGCAGCAGGATCAACTTTACGACTCTCTATGGGCTTCTCCCTCGACTTTGTCCCACTTCCCACCGATTGCCTGCGAGCTTCTCCTCCTGTCTATACGGTAATTTCTCTACTGTGTAACGGAGAGTCAATTCGTTATAACGCAATCGTTAGCCTATTTTTTTACAAAAACTGCTTCTATGGGACCATTACGTAAGATACAAGGTAATGGAGCATTTTATACATTGTCGTGTTTCTTCAGAAAATTTGGACACCTCAGATTTAAACTTATTCGCTGTCAAAGTGACGCCAAAATGAATGGGAGTCACTGGAATGCTAACAGCAGGTGAAGTTCTGCGACAATGGCGGCTCACACGAGGCTTCAACTTCCGGCTGATGGATTACCCCATAGATATCTATATAAAGGCTAGATATCTCTTCCGCGCTGCCGGCCAATGGAGGTCGACGTCAGCACCTGGCGGCCATCTTGTCACAGGCAGCTCGCTCACTGGTAACATTGTTTTAATGATGCATTTACTTTTTAAATCAGCGTAACTTGCTCAATTTTCTACCGATTTTCAAACGGTCTGGTTTGTTATAAACGGCAGAGATGTAGTTATGATACTGCAGACTTATGAATAATAATTCTATAAATAAATAATCATCCAGAATTATAGCCACATTTATAACGTTTGTAAGAAACCAAACCGTTTGTAAATCCGTCAAGATTTCAACGAGATAAGAGTTTTTCTTACATCAGATACCACAGAGCCCGCTAGAAAGTCTGTCTGTGACAAGATGGCCGCTGGTGATGACGATAAATACTGCGCCGTGAGACATCTAGCCTTTATATAGATATCTATGGATTTGATTACCCCCTTGCTACTGTCACAGGTCGAGGGGAGGAACGCTCGGGTGACCAACCACCCCCCCCTCTAACTGATCCACCACCGTGAGGAGCCGACACCACAGGCACACAACAGAGGACCCGGAGACAGAGATAAATTTCAAAGGAGTAACAATCTTTATTAAGCCAAAGGTTTCTCACAGTTCAAGAGACTCTCGTCGATGTATGATGATGGAGCAGGGGGGTTGAAGCTTACTTCTCCCCAGCGGTGCTGCAGACTTCCAGACCCAAGAGAAAGTATGTCAGGTAAGGATTCTTCACGGTACAAAGTACTCTCGTTGGTGCACAGTAATGAAGCAGTGGATTAGAAGCTTACTCTTCCCCAGCGGTGCTGCAGACTTCCAGACTCAGACAGTAAGTATGGCGGGTAAGGATTCTTCACAGTACAGAGTACTCTCGTTGGTGCACGATAATAAAGCAGTGGATTAAAAGCTTACTTTTCCCCCAGCGGTGCTGCAGACTTCCAGACTCAGACAGTAAGTATGGCAGGTAAGGATTCTTCACAGTACAGAGTACTCTCGTTGGTGCATGATAATAAAGCAGTGGATTAAAAGCTTACTTTTCCCCCAGCGGTGCTGCAGACTTCCAGACTCGGACAGTAAGTATGGCGGGTAAGGATTCTTCACAGTACAGAGTACTC